GAGTGAATGCCTCGATAGAAGCCATCAAGAGAGTGTATCGATTGCATGTATTCACTGGGGAGGAGGATTACTATGATACTTATCAGCGAGTACCAACATATTGGCACATGTTTTCAGAACTATCTGTGTACCAGACAAAGAGGTAGTGTGGGTTGTGCTGAACTCGAAGTTACACTCAGCCTCACTCACATTTGAAGGAAAGTGTTGGTTGTACGTCATCAATAGTCAACTGTTGCCGTCCCACAACACCACTGAGGTAAATGTTCTGAGAGCTGCATTGATCTGGTGCTTCGTGAATGGCCATGATTTTGATGTGACCAAAGTTATTCAGTCTGAGATATTCATCCGTTCACCACTGAAGAGTTATGGGTTCTTCTTCCCCTCTCTGGTCACTAGATTGTGCCGGGCCACAGGGGTGCCAGAGAACCCTAATGTGGATGGCAAGGTGAAGAAAGAAGCAAAGTTCTGGGAAGACAAAATGACCATTCGGAAGGATACAATGGTGCCCCGTACAATTGATAGTGATGATTCTGAGCCGTTAGAGGAGAGCGATGAAGAGCAGAAGGAAGTTGGGCCTTCCTCACCCCCACAGGAACAAGTTGCCGCGGTTGAAAAACCATCTGCAGTAAGATGGAGTACACGGATGACAACCTTAGAATAGGAAATGGCAGGGCTGCGCACTTCCGTCACAGAATTGGGGACTAGAGTTGATGCCTTGGCCACCCAAAATGCGAAGTCGGAGAAGAAAATCATGGGCTGGCTGCGTGCGTTGGGGAGGGTGTGTCATCTCGACCCCGGCACTGTCTCCGATCAAGACTGATTTTCCAGGGAAGTTCCTTTACCTCGCATTACTTTATTTGTGTGACATGGGAACATGCCATCATTTTAAGTGTGGGGTGAGGGATACTTTGTTGGTATGTTGTATGTAGAATAGTTTCGTAGTTTATTTACATAATCATTTTCTACTTGTCCTGACGATGGATATCATTTGACGGGTTTCTTGAGGGACTAAAGTCGAAGAAGAAAAAAAACATAAAAAGATTTTCTTTTGTAGTAGTGTATTGATTCCCCCTTGGTTTTTCTTTAAGCCACGATTCTTTTTCAAGGGTTTCATTTGAACCGGGTGTAGTTAGTTTTTTTTTTATTGTTAGTAGGAACTTGTGGTCTATCGGTAGAAATAGAAATAGGATCTCTTAACGTCGTAATGCCTTGAATATAGAGGGTACTTTAGTGTGACGCTTAGGCTCAGTTGTCGACTCTTGTAAGAATGCCTTAAACTGTATGTTCTTAATTTGACTTAAGTACCCTGATCAGAGTGTTTGATGACCCAATCTGGAGTGAGTCATGTGCCATGTGTGTGTGAGGCTTGTTGTATTTTGTGCACGACATTTGATGTCGAGAACTTGCCCCGTATGTCTGCAAAACAAAATAGTAGTCTTGTTTAGTCTGGGAAGTGATATAGGCATTTCCTTGTTGAACCATATATATACTTCATCCACCCATTTGTTATGTATCGTAGTTAACCCCATTGAGTCTATAATCCTGTTTCTTTGGCAACCACACTACAAGATATACCCATTTGTTTGAATTAACCATCTATTTGTACCTTTTAAACTCTTATGAGCACTTGAATAGTTATGAACTTTGTAATAGTTAAAGTGTGGGTGCTGAGTTTGGCTTTTGAGTGGAACTAATGAAATAAGGAGAAAGGTGCACTGTTTTGATAAAGTAAGAGCCACTTGAATTAAAAAAAATAATAAATAGTTGGGTTGTTGTGAAAAATATTCCTTGATAATTGGTGGCTCTTGATGTAAGTGTGCTTAAAGAAGAATGGAGTTAATATATAGTGATGTGAAGGTGGAGTTATGGTTTGACATGAGTGTGGGATTTTGAATGTTAAAGTATATGTATTAAAGTACTTAGGGAGATGTAGTCACTCTTATATCTAAATGTATCTTACTCGTCTCGTAGCCTACATTACAACCAAATCAAGTCCTACTTGATACTAGACTAAATGAGCTCGATTAGTAGAGCAATACACTACGGGCATGACTATGGTGCATCTTTTGTGGCATATGAATGTCATTTCTGAGGGTGAGTGAATTCTGTTTATATTGAAGTTCCTCAGTGTGTGTGCATTTTGTTGATTGTGGAATGAATCTCTTTTGTTGTGAGCATGCACTTGATTCATGAAGGAGAGGTAAGTCCGGACCTCTAAGTTAGAGTAAGAAAGTCGGTTAGGAATAATGTGTGGCTCGCGGGAGTCAACTCTTGAGGTGTGGATGTTACACTAATGTACTCAATCTATATGGAATATTCTTGGTGTGACGAGTTAGGGAAGTTAGGCCTCTGTAGAGTGTGGTTTGATTGCTCGAGGACGAGCAAAGGGTTAAGTGTGGGGTGTTGATAGTAGACTATAATTATGCAATTTATATACTATTTACACTCTAATTTGGCCGCACTTTATCAATGTTTGAATGTTAAAAGATAACAAAATGCTCTAATTAAGAGTTTTATGTTTTGCAGGAGCTACTCCGAGCTATGAGGAAGCTAAAAAGTGTTTTGGAGTCAATATAGAGCATGAAGGCCAATCAGAGGTTAGCATGGTCGAAAAGAGAAAGAAAACCAAGTGGCGAAGTCCCCTGCAGGTGCGCGGCCACGGATTGACCGCGCACTGAGGTAGAATACTGGGCGAAATCCGTGGTCAGATCCACGATACAATCCACGGTTGCGAACGAGCGGACGTAAGCCAATAACTCAGGGTCAATTATGTAATTTCTAGGGCGACTAACCTAAACCTATATGAAGCCTAATTCGCTTAGAAGAGAAGGATAACTGTTTTTAGAGAGATTTTGAAGGCAATAACACGGGAGAAAGACAGAGAATTTCCTTAGAGCTTTCATCTTCTTCTTTTTAATTCCATTGTTGATTATGACTTCTATAGTGAATTTTTCTCTATTAGTATAAGTAGCTAAATCCGTCATCTAGGGTTGATGAAACCAATTATTGGATGAAGTCTTGACTATGTTTTGATATAATTGAGCCGTTTTTACTCTATGATTGTTCAACTACGTGTTGTTTTGTGATTAATTAAAAGGGCCCTTGATTAACTGTGCCTAGTTATCTTGTGTTGCTTGAGAAAGAACACTTGGTTAGATTGTTGTTGAACAATACCACTTTCGGATAAAATAGGAGATTAATTACTTGAATTTAAAAGCAGGGTTAGAGATAACGAAGCTTTGGTGAGATAATTCTGAGTTGCATAGATTGTTAACTAGAGTAGTTCGAGAGAATGCTTCTGGTAAATTATCGTAATTGATCGAGAGATAATTGCGGTAGCCCAGAATTCATACTCCATATAGAGTGTTACGACGAGATTATAGCTAACGTGTCAGGAATTCATCCGACAATTGGGGAAATCAATAACCCTAGACCATTTTACCATTGAATTTAACTCTACTCTTGATTATTGCTAGTTTTATTGTCATTTTTACTTAGTTAACTAAATTCTACTCATTATCCATTAAAAAAATCTTGCATCTGAGAATTGTTTGAGCTTATCATTAGCAGTGTTAAAAGTTATAGTAAATAGATTAGCTCCCTGTGGGATTCGACTGTGGACTTGAACCAGATTATATTTGCAGCGACCGCTTAGTCCTTTTTATAAGGCATAGTTGGGCGTGATCAAGTAGCCACTCGAAGTCTCAAATTGCAGAATGGAATGATAGAACTCAAAACGAATGGCCGAGTCATTACACGCACCTGCGTACCAAAGCTCGCATGTGCGATACACCAGCACCAGAACTGCCCAACAATACCAAAATGGCCCGAAATCAATATTAAACACACCCGCGCCTCCTGGGACCCTGATCAATCATATCAAAAAGTACGGATACCTAATTAAAACTATTTCAAGGCTCAAAACATCACAATTAACGTCAAAACCACAAATCGAAGATCAAAATCCAACTCATACCTTCTAAACTTTTCAACTTCCACAAGCACATCTAATCATGCCTGCACATTTTGGATTTCACCCAAACTTTACACACAAGTTTCAATCAAGAAAATAAACTTATCCAAAGTCCTGAAACAACAGTCAGAATCTGATAATATTAAAGTCAACTTACGATCAAAACTATGAACTTTCCAAACCTTCGAATTACCAAGTTTCGGCAAATAGGGCCAAAACCTTTTAGGAACCTTCGAATCCAAATCCGAGCATATTCCTACGTCCAAAATCATCATACGAACCTATTGGAACCACTAAACCGCCAATATGAGACCGTCTATTCAAAAGTCAAATCTTGGTCACCTCTTAATAACTTAAGCTTCCAAAATGAGACTAATAGCCCATTTGGCCAAGCTTCTAAAATCAGCTTATTTTGAGAAGTACTTTTCTCAAAAGTACTTTTTTACTTTTGGTGAGCAGTAGTTTGTATTTGGCTAATTAATTTGAAAAGCACTTTTGAGCAGTAATTAGTGTTTGGCCAAGCTTTTGAAAACTGTTTCTAAGTGTATTTTTCTCAAAGCGCTTCTAAGAAAAGTGCTTTTGGAGAGAATCAACTTTTTCTGCTTCTCCAAAACGGCTTTTGCTTTTCCTCAAAAACACTTTTTTTTTTCCAAAAGCTTGGCCAAACACCTCAATTTTTGGCCAAAAGTGCTTTTGGCAAAAAAAAAAAAAAAACTTTTGGCCTAGAAAAAACTTGACTAAACAGGCTATCTCCAATCACTCTCAAACCTTCCGAAGCCAAGCTAAATAATTCCGCAAGTCGCAAAATAATAAACATACATACAGAAAGCATTAAGTAATGTAACGTGGCTCAAACACACAGAACGATCGGCCGGATCGTTGCAGAAACCAAACTGATGGAGTACAACACAGGTTAAAGGAGAAGGAAATATAACTTAGCTTAATTCAGAACTCCTGACAAATTGTCGATCCATAAATATGAAATCCCACTTTTTACAAATGACGGTAAGCTTTATTAAACCACAAATGAAGAAAAAATATAAATACATTAACTGTTATATCTGTCTGGCCTCAAGTGTACTTGCCATTATAGCTAAAAACAGAACATAAATAACGCTATGAACAATTCTCAACCTATGTTCTACCTAGAATTTACAAAGACATAAAGATTTAACAATACCAACAATTCATGTGGTACTTCGACGGGATGAAAAATTGGTTTTCACCACCTAGTTATACAAGTGCTTAACAATTTTTTTCAGTAGATCTGTCTCAAATGGCTTCTTCGAGTCCACAACTCATACATAACCATATGAAAAGCATCAAAATCTTTCGGAAAAGAGTTCCACTGAAAATGCTTCTGCACTTGCATTACATTCTTTTGAAGCTCCGCGTACCGATCGTACTCTATTTCTTCAAGAATTTTCTTCAGTATTGGAATGTCAAGAGATGAAACGATAACGGAGAAGCTTTCCCAGTTAAGTATGTCAGTGTATGGAAGGTCGTAATGATCGGCCAATATCACTGGAACACAACCGTAGTAAAGGGCGTCACCAATTCGGGCAGTGTTGATCTCGAAACCTTTAGCGTGAATACAGTATTTGCTGCCCTGTAACGCCTCCGAGTAGGACGTTTTCATTCGGCCTCTGTGGACAATGATCTCGGAATCGTTTCGCCATACTTGAACTAGGTTTTCACGTACTCGGGAGTTCATTGCTCCGGCGAAGAAGGCTAGCTTTTGCCTGAAGTTTCATATTACCAAAAAAAGGACAAAAGGATCATAAGGATAATCTAGTGATCTTCCTTTTCTGAAAAAGAGAAACTAAATAATGATTGGGAAGTAAAAAAATAAGCAGCTCCCTCCGTATTATTTTATTTTATGCTTCTTCATTTGACTGGACTTAAGTTTATGTAAAGAAAACTTTTGAATTTCGTGGTTAACTAGAAGTGTGTATAACTTACCAACAATATTCGCGGCCTTAAACATATCATGTCATTCATTAAAGATAAAATGAGAATGTTTGAATTAAAAACTTACTATAATTAAGAAAACAAAATTCTTGTTGAAACAAACGTCCAAAGTGAAAAGCACGACACATAAATTGAGATAGAGGGAGTGATACTTTTCAAAGAATTAATTATAATATATATTATTTCTTATGTCTTAGTTTATATGGCACACTCCTTCTACGTATTACTTGGTATAGTTTTGATCAGTTTGTCTAAATGTTCAACTTCATTTAAACGAAGATGTCATTTCTATCACACACTAACTTATTAATTCTACATCCTTCCCAAAATGAATTCCATAGGTTCAATTTCACGTAAACAAAATTTTCATTTCCATCATAAACTAACTTAATTACTACTTAGTAACTTTATCCTTAATTCCCAAAACGAATTACAATATAATTCGGAAAACTAGCATTCAACTCTTTAATCTTTAATTAATTTGCATTTGAAAGTCGCACTGCCTTTCCTTCTTTGTGTTGCTTTTTGGTATATTGAAATATATCTAAACAAAAGTTCTTGCAAAAAGAGAAAACAAATAAAACGAACCGAAGTTACCTTTTTGAAGGACCATTTTTAGAATGTATATGTACTCCTTTTCTAGGCCAAATTTGAGGAATGGAAGCATCTTTATGAGCAACATAACCAGATAGGAAGTAACTTGAAGAGCAAACCACTTGAATAGCATTTAACTTCACATGAATAGCTTTCTCCATTGCTGTCCTTCCAATAGAATGACATGCAACATAGAAATGGTCAGCCCCTCCTGACCTATTCCAATATGGGTATTTTTCACTTATCTCAAACACATAATTTTTCACAAAATCTTGGATCCCACCAACCCCTACCCTCTTGTCATTCCTTAGACTTGCTATAGAAAATGGAAGATAAAAGAGGTCAGCTTCTTTGGGGTCATTTGTGATGAAATGGCTTTTATAAAGGGCTTTCTTGAAATAACTCTCACTTGCATAGTTCCCTGCTGGTTCATAGTCAACTGGTAATAGCACATTTGCAAAAGGGTCGTTCTTCTTGTGGGGATACACATATATCTTTAGGGTTCTATTCATTTCCTTGTATTCTTCTTGGAAGAGATCCTTGTCATGAAACACGTCTTTGTTCTTCACGAATTTCTGATCTGAAAGGAAATAAATAATCTATTTTAATTTATATACACTATATATAGTATAACATTATTGTCCATTTTGATGGAATCCTATGTATGATGATGAGCGGCTGCTGCTATCTAAATATAGTATACAATTACGTATATACCTAGTATAAACTTGACATTATATGCATACACCATCATATATAGTTGCGCTGATCTATATATTAGAATTGACAATTTTAGTTGAAATTTGTTTAACATTTTCCTTAGCCTGATGTATACATAATTATCATAAAAAATAAAAAGTCAATCACGGACAAGGAAATGACAGATCAAACAAACTCGTGATTATCACGTACATACTTGAGAAGCTGGAAATTAATCGGGCTTAAGTTGATATTGTTTCAGTTTGGTTGAGGTTTAAAATTAGCTTTTAAATGTGCTTTTAATCTTAATTCTGGAGACCAAGTTAATATAAAAACGGAATGCTATTTATTTTCTAATCGCAAGGTTGTTTTTGAGTTTTGGTAAGTCTTTTAAGATACCTTTCCTAACCCTAATGTGCCTAAGCTATCTACAAACTTGTTTTATAAGTAGTGCAATACTTGACAATAACGTTTTAATAAACAATGGAGTACCATCTTTAAGTTGTTTTAACTGAAAACGTATGAAGCAAATTTATAAATATGCTAAGATAACGAAAACACAAATCAGACTAGCTTTTATGGTCATTACGTATTCCATGCCCCCCCCCCCCCCCCC